ATATGCAATATCCAACACATCTATGTACCAAGTTTCATTGAAATCTGATACTGTAAAGGGGTTAATTATTCACTGGGTTTTAATTTGGCTTTTTTCACTGACTGGAAAATGCGCTAAATTAAAACCCAGTGAATATGTAAAATTGAGCATGGAACACATTATACAAATGATAAAACCGTGAATTTTAAACCCACTAAATATGCCTGAAACGTTAAATCAGTGAAATTTAAACCCAGTGAAAATTAGTCATTTTACAGTAATTGGTTATCATTGCTATGCTCTAAATGCAATGAAATATATATACTACAGGACAGACAGCTCTTAATACTGAAATAGATGTATGCAAATAAAACGTTGTACCTGCAGAAACATCCCTATATATACACAGAGATTAAACCCACCACATTTTACACAGTTGAAACGCCTGTACACAAGAACTTGGCACTCTGAATCTAATAAAGTACACAAGATTTCTGTGACCACTGACATACATCTTTTAGACATCATTCTACAGGAAATGCTAACAAGAGTTGAAAATATTTAATGCAAGCAAACATTGAAATTCAGCCTGGTACCAGAAATTTGTCACAATGAAAATATCTTGATCAGGGAGGACTGGAATGATTGAGTGTCGAAGTTGAAATGTCGACAATTTTTTTTTTTTTTGACATGCATACTATAATAAAAGTCGCAGCCAAGATATCTGCCATGATTAAGGCAACGCATTTGAATTTATAAGACTAGTATTAACAAATTTGGAAGCAATGCATGACAGGATTTATTGGTTGATAAACGGCGCAATATGTCTGCCATTCAGATTTTTGTCCAAGTTTTAATATATACCGGTATTTATCAGATCATTATACCGTAAACCACTGTCCAAGGAACATCATAATTCTTCAACAAAACAAATTATAAAGTAACTTAAAATGCATTCGTTGACACACAGGTAAATCAATAAATGTTAAATATCTAAACAGAACTTTGACATCAAATCTGCAAAATCATACTGTATAAAATTATTTTTCATTAGTTCTATTTGAAAAAAACAGTACACAAAGTTATTAAAAGGCAAGGTTTATGTATTTATTTCTCAACTTATAATTCTGTATTATTTTTAACAGCTGATAGTATATATATACACACACAAGAGAAATCATGCTTAATAAGATATAACCAGAATAAAAAGTGAATTTTCCAAGAGAAATTAAACCAAGAATACAGCTTGAGTTAATAGAATTTAGGGGTCAATTACGGCTTGCACAGAAGTGTTAAAAAAAAAGCATCTCTTTTTTTTTTAATTCAAGACTTAAACAACAGCCAAAGTAGGAAGTCAAAAGAGAAAACTTGCAATGGAAGCCAAAAATATTGCCAAACATTTTGCAGTGGGATCAGGATGTATTGCATCTCGCTCCTATAATGCAAAATTATAATTTGTTGTATTGAAAACACAACTCAATTACTATCTGAAAGATCCTATTTATATGGCTGTCTACATAAGTCAGGTCTGTTGTAGAAATTGAAACTGCTTATATGGCAAATATAATTCTTTGTTTTCTAGATATCTTGAAGCTCCTCCAGAACTCTGAGACGTTCTTCGTGTTTCTTGATAGTTCGAGTAAGTGATCGAATTTCTTTCGTCAAGCTGTCTTCTTTAATCTTCTGTAAACAGTTAAAAAGGAAAAGAAAAATGTCAAAATTCATTGAAATACTGAGATAGGTGCTTCTGAAAAATTCCTATTAACATGTAAGATTTACAACAATTTGCAGCAAAAAAATAGAATCAATTATCAAATTGTTTTCCTCTCATAAAATACAAACTTTGTTGTTATAAATTAGTGCAAAATGTATTTTCTGGAAAGCAATGGTGATAGATATGCATTTTACACTAATCATATAAAAGTAGGAAGAAATCTGGAGAGCAGTGAGGGGGGAAAACGTACAGAGTACAGACTAGGCAAACACGCACACACTACAAGGAACGGCTGATGCAAGACTATTGCACAATCATAGCATATGCATGGCACTGTCCTCCACATCATTCAATTTATTGAGATGCAATTATGATTTTGTTTAATGGTATAGCCTAAACTTGGATCATAAGAGCAACAAACATCTGTGATCACCTAAAGACTAATTGAGTGAGTTACTTATACAGACAACCAAATTACATCACAAATACACAATGTATCCTAAACCAAACAGCAATGTAACATTTTAAATATTTATAATAAGTAATTTTCTATCAATTCTGTGTAGTAAATTATGCTGAATTTAAATCCCTGCAGTGAGGAATCAAATAATGTTGATACACTACGTATATATTAGACTATCGGTAGGCGTGGTGCAATGACCTGTAGGAAAATATCATAAATTGCCATTTTTGAGTGTTTCAAGGTAAAAAAAGAATATCAAAATTTGGCAAACTATTTTGTTTATGACATCAGAAGCACTGATCAAATGCAAGGTCAAAATCATCTTTCCCGGCCAATATTATTCATTTAAAATCACATGGTCATTAATGGTTACCATGCAAACAAATACTAGTGGTACATTTAAGGTTTGCATTCTCTATATGTTATCAAGTGATAATTCAATTTATTATTTATATAACCTGCTTACCAATGTTATACATGAAACTAAAGTTTGATTAATATGAACTTATTTACATGCATGTGATTATATTAATTTTTGTGATTATTTATTAGATATAATTTGGCAATGCACACATTATTTGTTTACTGTCTGAGACGTATACTTGGTTTAATAATCTTTTATTGATTATAACTAAAACAATTACGAAAATTGAAGAGCTTTTTTATCTAAAACTAGATTATATTCATAACAATTTTTATACTTTAAGTGCATTATGAATTAAGCAGTACAGGATATCTCAACATGCAACAGACTCCTATACTATTGCAATGTTTTGGCAAACACCTGGTGCTCAAAGCATTTGACAAAAGTCTCCTACAATACATGCACCAAATGAACAAAGTCATGGTCAGCCAATGACCTTAATCTTCTGGGAAGTAAGCATTTGCTGCATTTAAGCTGGCCTATGAATGAAGGTTATTTGACTTCCAATGGTTCAGATTTGCTGTCCCATAGTTCGGGGTAAAAACCATATTTGCTCTATTAGTAGTGCATATGATTACATAAATTACAGAGGTGTTGCTATGGTATCACATAAGCTTGAGTAAATTACAGAGGTGTTGCTATGGTCAAATAAGTAATATTTTAATGATTCTGTAAACAGCTTTATTTGAGATAAGCCACTACCGGTAATAGAGCATCCATGGTATACGTGTATTTGTCCGAGACTAAACTATAGACCCCAATCAAATTGTACTAATTCATATTCCCTTTACCCTGAACTAGCTGTCAATGTCATAATTAAAGACATTCATAGTAAAAATGACTAATCTTCCCCAACCTAGAAGTAAAGAATTAAGTGTCTTAGATTAAAGCTCAACTTGACCTTTGACCTGAGTACTCAGTAAATCGCATGTATTGCGACATGCCATTAGTGGGTACAAGCAAATTAAAGTAAGGATAATGCGCAGTTGGAAAATTTAATTTACAAAATGAATTATAATTTTCTCAAATGCATAGTTCAGATATAAAAGCATGATTATGAAAAACTCCACTTGAGGACATTTTACCTTCAGAGTCATTTATTTGTTTGTTTGATGTCACCTAGGAAACAATAAAGTATGAGTACAATTAAAGACACACACTATAAAACACACAATTCATCTACTATGCCCAAAACCATGTTATTGACACTTAGAGTATTGAGTGAAGTGAAGTTAATCACCTTATGGTATGTGTGTATAGGGGAACATGAAATTAGAAAATATCAAATTTTAGATTTCATCAAATCATGGTTGCATCCACAACAATTTCTAGTGTATCTCGGTTATCACGTATATCCATTAAAACTGCATAACACAGGTTCTTTTTTACTGTCAATATTTTAAGAAAACAACTTATTTTCAGGGAAAATACACTATAAAATAAGAGGCATTATTTTGTGAAAAAAGATATGACCACAAACTTTTTAAATTTGTTCTTAGTTCTCTGAATATCATTTTAGTGTCATGTTGGAGCTAATCTAGGTAAATTTCCAATAGTTGTAAATTATGTTGTTGTCATCGTCGTTCAGTGTCATAGTCAAATACTTCTTAATATATCATCTGCTGACAATTCCATTTATTTTAACTATCCATGGAAGCTTACAACTGGATGGCATTGTGTTAATGTGCACAATGAATTGTGGGTTGGTTAGTTGTCCACCATTAGGTTCATGGAAGGAATTACAGAAACAGTGTTCTCTGCAGCAAAATGCTAAAACATGGTGGATAATTTACAAATTAAAAAGTGTTACTTTCTTTTTATCATGAAAGACTGCGTGTTAAACAATTTGTTTGATTAGCAAGCTTTCTTAGAAAAAAAAAAGTGAGTAGAAGAGTAGATTTATTTATAAGTACTGACACCTTGTTCTTCCAACGTCTTGATTCTTTCTTCATGTTCCGCCACAGTCGCTTTCAATCGCTTCATTTCTTGCATCAACTCATCAAACTTAGCATTCTGAAATTATAACAAAAATAAAGACAATCATTAATGAAATCCAGTTTATTGAATAGATAAATCTGATTAAAATTCAAATGTAGGTATAAGGCTTCATTTTTTTTCAATTTTTATATACATTTTTTTTATTGTTATTTTTTTTATGTCATAGCCCAAGATACAATACATATAAAATTTAATAATAAAGTATAACCAAAACGATTTTCATAAAAAAAACAATAAGCAGCCTATTGGCTGAGACAGCTCTGATGTTAGCAATGCACATTTCAATTAAAGAACAGAAGATATCATTAGAAAATGAACAATATGTAAAGTATCAAAGCAATGGGACTTGCTGTTTTAACAAGAATTCAAAAATATCACTTTTCACCAAAAATGACAAAAATAATCATCAAAATTAGATAATTGAAGATATCACCACGAAATTAACAAATCTGAAAGAGGTCCACATGTAGTACCTATATGTGTAATACAAAAGCAATCAGACTTGCGGTTTTCCACAAAAATTCAAAAATATCACTTTTTACCGAAAATGACAAAAATATACATCAAAATTAAAGAATTGAAGATATCATCACGAAATGAACAAATCTGAGAGTGGTCCACATGTAGTATCTATATATGTATTATCAAAGCAATTGGACTTGCGGTTTTTAACAAGAAGTCGCAAATATCACTTTTTACCAAAAATGACAAAAATATTCATCAAAATTAGAAAATTGAAGATATCATCATGAAATGAACAAATCTGAGTGAGGTCCACATGTATCTATATATGTAATATCTAAGCAATCAGACTTGTGGTTTTTAACAAGAAGTCGAAAATATCACTTTTTACCAAAAATATTCACCAAAATTAGAGAATTAAAGATATTACAAAATGAACAAATCTGAGAGAGGTCTACCCAAGTTACATAAACACCAAGTATCAAAGCATTGAGGCTTATAGTTTTCAAGAAGAAGTCAAAAAAGTAAAACATTGGCACGGACAACGACGGACAATCACTCGTATGATAAGCACCGCTCGACGAAGTAGACAACGGAGCTAACAATAACAATTTTAAAAGCCTATACCTACATCGGACTTGGAATAGATTATGTAGCATTTACTGAATCAAGTAAAATTATTTTCATTTAAAATATTTAAATTATAACCCATATTTGGACTTTTAATTACGATCAATGGGCCCTAAATCTACATTTTGTTTTGATGTTAAATTGTGTTATAAAAAAAAAAACATGCAACATTTATGGTGTTACAAGATTAACCGATGTAAAAATAAAAGCATGAAAAGCAACTAAATTTTGAAAAAATACCTCCAATAATATAAAAATATGAACAGCAACACTGATGGTTTATTGGTGCATATATTTTATCTCAAACACAATTTACATAATCAAACCTTGTTCAAAGATTAAATTCAGCTTTTTTATCAAATCCTGTTTCAAAAAAGTTTCAAAAAGGGTAAAAAATGGTGACTTGTGACAAAATTAACCAGATTTTCTGTTTGTATGCACTGTAAGTACTCACACTGACGGAAGGTGGTGCTGATGCAGCATTAGTAGACTGTGGTTTGACTTCTTGTTTTGGTACATCATCATGGTGGTCTCTAACCCATGATGGTTTTGACGGTTCTGGTCTTGGAGTCTCTTCTTTTTTGGGAGGATGTCTTTCCTCAGTCTTAACAGGAGTGGACGCAGCAATAACAACTTTCTTTGGTTTAGGTTTTTCTACCTCTTTGGGTGGCTCCTCCACCTTAGATTTGACAGTAACTTTCTTGGCTAACAGATTGGCTTTTGGTTTGGTGGCCATCTTGGTTTCCCTCTCTGTTTCATGATAGAATGTTTTCATCGACATTGTATTTGGATCTGCATCCTTGCCTTCTGACCAATCTTCAGCAGTAATTGCTGGTTCATCTGACACAGTATCCGGGAAAATATCCGATTGAAATAAATCACTCTGTTTACAGACAAAATGATCAAATAAAATAAATCCTGTGTTTTCAGTAATCTTATCTACCTTATATTTGTGGAGAAATTAAAAAGTTTATTTTAGATCGCACATTGTACAAAAATAAAGGGGAAAAAAAAATTACGAAATTCGATTTTTTGGCCAATTGCACAATTTTGTCATAATATTTGGGCAGATATTTATTTCTTCAATTTGAGTAAAATAAAATCAAAAGTATAAACTGTGCCAAACCTGCATGTTTTACTCATTTGTGTACTATAGCATCCAACAGTTGACAGTTTTTGGTTTCTACATGTATATATAGTCTATAAACCCAGTTAAGACTAACAGTAGCAAAATGTTCCTCAAAATGAACCAAAATGATGTTGAAATTAAGTGACTATTTTACAAAACGTGAAAATGTATCACTGAATTTTAGGTTGGAAAATATCTATTTAAAGTTTTAGGAAAAGAACTTGCCTTTCTTGGAACAATCATAGAAATAGGTTCACATACTCCTTTCTGGTGTAGTTTATAAAACCTGGCAATTTCACAAGAATTGACCAGACACCCTCGTTTATTCATGAAACCTAAACCACGCTGCGGTGATGACGAAGTGTACGTATTGAGGTAGTGAATAAATGGAGGTTCATCGCTGATTTCAAAGTAACGAATGCTTCCATCTCCCTAGAGAATTAATAATAGCACCAAACATGAAAACAATACCCACCTCTGATATCAGAACTTATGACATGAAAACAAGAACAAATCCATTCCTTATTCAAAATAATGATTATAAGACCCTTCTTCTCATGATATAAAGTAAATTAGAGTAGATATAAAATATGTCAGGTCCTCACCTTGCCTGCAAGATAAAGTACACTGCAGTCTTGATCGTAAAATGGAAACATTGTTCCATTACTTGTATCTAAATTTTCCAGGATTACAGGATTACTCAAATCATCCTGAAAATAAAAGATAATTGTAATTATTAATACCATGCATTTTATTTAATTATACATGGTGTGAAGAGATGGGGGGGGGGGGGGTTCTGTCTCATTTGTTCATTAAATGTCAACACACTTCATACACAAGAAGTGAATAGTTTCCATGAATAATACAGTACATACTTTGTGAGACATTTCAAAACTATGACAGCACCTAGCACCAACCCATGTACAATATTAGAAGCACATCTCAAATAAAAATGAACATTAAACTTAAACAAGTCATTGAAAATGACAGTCATCGTAAAATTTGTGAAAGTTCTCTTTGTGCTTGTCATATTAAAGTGGAGGGGTTGTTGCGAGCATGTCCTTGAAACTTGAGACCAAAGTGGCGTATACATTTACATCAAATTAGAACACATGTTGTGTGACGACCCCTCCAGTTTAAGACATAGCAAAAAAAACAAAAGATCACAAGTGAAAGCATGTCCAAGTTATCACATTTTAAACAAACAAGATGGCTGCCAGTCAGCCATATTTGATCAAATTGATTTGACATGTACATGTATCCATTTATGACATGCTAAATATCAATGAAAATGATACATGGGTGACAGAGATATGTAATATGGCCAAAAATAAAAACAGCCGTTATTCGTCCATCTTCGACTTGATTATGAAACAAAGTGACATGTATGATGTATGTGCCAAATATGAATGAAAATGGTACATAAATCTTGGAAATATAGTACTAATGCCAAAAAGTCAGATGGCTGTCAATCGACCATCATTGATCCGATTTTAAAACAAATTTTCATGGACATGTATCCTAACATGTATAAAGTATGTGCCAAATTTGAATGAAAACTGACAAAGCATGTCCAAAATACGCCATTTTCAAAAAACAAGATGGCTGCCAGTCGGCCATTTTGAATCGAATCACTAAACCACTGCATGTGCATATGTCCCACATAAAGTACTAGGTACATGCAAAGAATGAATAGAATTGG